TCTCTGCTGAGGTTAAGACTGGAAAAATGTACCCAGGCAACCAGCCCTTCTCTTAAGGGGGACTTACATATTCTAGAAGGGGTTCAAAGGAAGGCGACAAGTATGACTCCTGGAACGACTAACCTGTCACATGAGGAAACGCAAGACGGTTTAAATCTCTTATCACTATCATACAGTAGGTAGAGGGGAGATTTAATCAGAATGTCTAAGATTTTAAATAACGAATGGGAAACTGGACCCAATAGGTCGGAACACTTTAGAGAAGATAGTCGGACAGTTCAAATTCCAGGGAGAAACGATACTGCCGGGACACCTGTTCTCACACCGATCACAAACTCCTGGAATCAACTATCAGAAGAGGTAGTGTCAGCGACGCCAACTGACCCATTCAAGAAGGGTTTGGACAAGCACAGAAATTTAATAGAAAAGGATTAGCATATGTTTGAATCCTTCCATCCTCAGAGAAATGCTCGTGCACACATAACTTAAAAACTATGTTGAAAAATGGTAATTTGATATAAATTCTCTCCAAATGTTACCCGACCCAATCTAACTGTTCATTATAATAATGATGGCTTTATTCTAAACAGTAATTTCGATACACCTGGCGATAACTTGGAACAGAGTTCCGAACAGTCCTTCGTGCTAAGCCAAAGGTAAAAAAATACTATGGACTTTCCAGTTACTGTCAGAGCTGCTAGTAAATCCCGGATCGAGACATTTGGGTAGAAAACACTGGTACTTCAACTTGGTCATAGGCGTCAGCTTCTGTCAGTTTTTGCTATCGCTGACCTGTACCGAGCAGCCCTTGGTATAGAGCTAACAAGAGGATATGAATTATTAGTGGATGTCCAGTAGGCATGACTAACAATGAAAGAAACGTCTAGGTATGACAGTAGCAACGAAAACAACCACCATTCAAAAAATCTAGCCTAGTTTTCTACTATATCAGCCGAAAGATTCCAGAAAATGGGGGCAGAACATCCAGCTCTAACATCAATAAACCCGCAAACCTCTAATGTTGGACCGAAAATTAATAATGATCAAAAGCATAAAGTCCTGAAAAACAAGTTTGAACAGTTTTCGCTAAACGTCAGAAATGGACATATTGTACATAATAATTATTTGATCGACTTCTTTTCCAAATATATGTAACCGTAATTTCGAATGGAAACAAAGTTATGCTGTTCGTCCCTTCGTCTTCCCACTGGTTCATTCGGTCCACTTGCTCCATCAATCCCCATGTTATATTCTTTGTGATTTATAGAGTATCTCATCCTCGTCCAAAGACTCTTCAACACCCGGTAGGCAACATCTACAACTTCATCCCAGCAATGAGCTTCATCTGTGGATTATGCTGTTAATTTGTAGTAGTGGACTATAATTGTATTTTCAGTTAACCGTCAATTGTGTGTCATACTATTCTTTCATCAACTTGAGTTTTTATCCCGCTATTACGTACATTTATCCGGCTCACTGTTAAGTCCCTAACATACTAGACTGTGGAACCCGATTGGACATTTACAGTGTTATAGACTACATACCCATGTTATTAACATTTTGACTGCATTTCTGTATCTATTTGTCTGTCTACATATTCATGTATTGATCCTGTTCTTACCCACCTGTTCACATAGTTGGATAATAAGTAGGATAAAGAGGCATATGCGTCAACCAGTTGAACCGCATAAGTATCTCCTGTATACCCGACGACCTAGTTGAATTAGATGAGAGAGAGCAGATACCATGCTAGACGTATTATCTGACTCCAGTGTATGCAGTGTGTCAATATGTAGTGCGCTACCTGTTAAGACCAAGTCCAGGGCGGACAGACATGTGCTATCCGCATTAGCTATGGCATCAAGCTATCCGACCTGCGAAACCGTTCACCTTCACTTGTAGTGACTCGGCCTAAGGGAACCCCCAGGTGGGTAGTGATGGCGACGGCTGTTACTAGCAATCACTCAAGTCACCTTCTCTATGTGAAGGACATGACTATAGCCACAGCACCTCTCGCAGGCACAGGAGCCAAAGTTAGTGTGACACATCCTTCACTATCCAGGTGACCTCGCACATCAGAGGAACTGTCACCTCGTGCAGCCAACCAAACGAGCACAAAGACTGACGCTGAACGACCATTCTGTTTGGACCTTGGTGTACGCCGACTTTTTACATGGGTTTTCATAGTAGCTGACGTTTGCTATGCTATACTCGCGGCTGATTTTTTTAAGTAGTCTCAAGCTGTTGGTTGATGACAATAAGAAAAGACTTACTGACAACTGCACTCAGCTTCAAACCCATAAAATCATCTCAGACTACTCCGTGTATAAAATTTGCATAGAAAAGCCTGTTGACTGCACTTTTTCTGCATCAATGCAACGTTTTTCTAAAATTTTTAAAGCCTTCCTACAATGTCGGGGACATCATTCATTCACTGAAACATGTCAGTACGAGCACCACATCGACTACATCTGACAAACTGGTGTCAGCAAAAGCTAGGTTCGAACACATGATGCAACTGTGCACCGTTCTAACATTTAATAGTCCTTGTTCCTCACTCTTGCACATGGTGCCAAAGTTCGAGCATGGTTGGGGATTACCACTACTTGAATAACGCCACTGTTTCTGATTGTTATACTATTGACCACCTACATGATTTCTGACGCTGCACAGTAGAAATATTTCCTCCGAAGTGGATTTCGTCAGGGCTTATCACCAAATACCAGCCAACGAAGGACTCATTTCAAGGACAGCTATGGTGACACCTTTTGGACTATTTGAATTTCTGTGGCTGCTCCCTGGTCTGAAAAACGCTGCACAGTTCTTTCAGGGCTTCATGGACCAAGCCGCTCAAAGTCTTGATTGTGTATTTGTATTTATAGATGACGTCTTAATTTCCTTCAAGTCTATAGAGAAACACATGGACCAACCAAATACATTGTTTCAGCTCTTTGAACAATATGGCCTAACTATAAACCCCACAAAGTGCAATTTCGATACCTTTCCTACACAATTTCTAGGACATGACAAAACAGCGGACGATATCAAGCCTACGAAGAAGATAGAAACTGTTAGAAACTAACCCAAACCAGACTCACTGAAAGAAGCTCAGGGTGTATGGGGATGCTTAATTTCTATTAGCGTTTTTATTTCTTCGTTTGCCGTAACTGTATGGCCTTTAACTGATATACTTAAAAGTGACCCCAAAAAGTTCCGATGGTCGGCATAAGCGAAATAAGCTTTTAGTAGCGCCAGAAAAGCCTTGCCCAAAGTCATCTGAAAATCTCTGTAGTACTGTGCACGCAAGCCCCCACAAGTGGCAATGGAAGCAGTACTACAGTGGCAGATAAATGGCGAAGTTACTTCACTTGCTTTATTTTCTGAAAAGTTATAACCTGCTCAAACTCATTACAGAACCTTTGGTAAAGATTTGTTAGTCCTCCATCTAGCAGTTCACGGCTTCACATACTACAAGGTCACCATTTCACCGCCCTTACCGACTGCAAACTACTTTGCTGTGCTTTCTCTACGGCGCTAGACAGACAACCTCCAAGGGGGGCTTACAGCCGGTCAGTTTTCAACTGACATTCAGTATAGTAAACGTAGCGCGAATGAGGTAGCTGGTTTACTTTCGCGATGTGACATAAACCACTAACTTCAATTATCCTAGCCCAGTAAAGGTAAGTAGCTTATTAGAAAATCTCAGCAATTGCATTGCATGAATCAACACACAACCACACGATAGGGTGGGAGAGGTAAAATTCTAAGAAGTAACATAAGTAGGTGGAGAGAGATGCTGTTAACTGAATCCCTGTCCATTGAGTCGACAGTGAACTAGTGCAATAGGGATGACTCATCACTCAAATCGGAAATATGGAAAACACTACTACCAATCAGGTCAGGCGGTGAAAAATAATGGAATTATATAAACGAAGTTGGAAAGTGATGTGAGCACCCGGATATGATTATGAGCAATAAATTATGTTCGAAACGTTATCAGTAAATATTACTGCATAACACTGTGGGACTTTATCAAAATAAATCGTACCCACAATAGAATTATATACAGTCACAGTTAAAATTCCATATCTTCCTGGCAACAGTAGTCTTAAAAAGAGACGCACTAACATACTAACTCCGAAAGCTAGATCTTTATGCACTAAGTCACTACGAAACTAGGGGTGACCTTAGCACTGGTTGCTAGTCAATGCACAAACCAGTCCACCCTATCGGGAGCATATTGACTGAAAGGCGATATAACATTTCTTGAAGTAATCCTAAGAGAGTTACTCACCAGAGTGCAGCAAGAACAGTAAGGGACAACTCTCATTCCATCAGGTTTTATCACTTAAGGGGTTCACTGATCAGTGATGTGTCCACCACCCCATCAGCTGGCAGACTGAAAGGAAGGTTAGACTAACACGAAAAAAGATACATTTACACACACTTATTAGGGAAAAAGGACTGATTATAATGTGATAAACTAGCACTTCAGATATCCCGTCTACTTTCGTATACTTCAATATCTCATTCTAGCATAATAACTTTGTTTTTATGAGTTTCGTTCTTTTGTACCCCACTTTCACCTGTCTTACAACAATAACTTATGCCGTGTTCTCTTTTCGTTTTATCCACATATTCTTTCCCTTCCTCCGTGTTCTTACCGCTTCTCCTAGCTGAATGGGATCACCAGATTCCAGTAGCCCCAATGCATTAACGTCAGCTGTACATTTCCTCCAAAATAAATGAATGTGCGTCGGCGGCACAGTGGTTAGGACTCTCGCCGACCATGCACATGGTCCGGGGTTCGATCCCCTGCCGGTGCACACCCGATATCTATGGTCGGCCTGCAAAATTGGGCTACCGATATCACATGCTGAAAATTCCATACTTGTACCAAAAATACGGTGGGGAATCAAGCTATAATAAATAAATAAAAAAAAATTTATAGCATCTAGTTGAACTGCTGCAGTTCAGATAGTATTTCGTGCTGGAATCGTTTAAAACCTTGGGTTCATACCAAAACATCAGGAATCCAATGTCAAGAAGTTATAAGGCTTTCACAAGCTCTTCACGAAGATGCTAGATATTGTACTTATTGGAGCCGTAAATGGCCGTCATTTTAAAGTATGCGCTACATTTTCCCGTAAGTGTGTGCATTATGGGGAATGTGAGACTTTAAACTTGTTGTACTGCTGACTATGAACTTAGTATATAAGAAATTTCACAATCTGTTGAGATTTTATGAAAGAATATGCACAAATTTCCTACAGAAAACGAAATGCTTAGCCCATAAAGCATGTCATTTGCAATCCTTAAACAAATGGCCTCAGATACGACTAGTACCTCCAAAAGATACAACAGTTAGATACCTATCTTAGGGTTCTGTCTCAGTAGAATGTCTTTTTCGTTGCTGGTATTACTATGGAACAAATTTCCTTCAATTTTGTATATTTTAAAATTGAACAGTTGTTCTAATTCAGCCACTAAGAACGTCGGTGCGCACTGTGATAATTGTTGGTTATGGTCTAAGATGAACTTCTGGATTATTGTGGATAGTTTGACAGCTTTAAGTGAAGCTTTTAGACTTCTAGGAGGTCTGTCTCACAACCCCCAGCTAGTATTTTCTTCGGTAGGAATTGTAGAAAGTGACAGTTATCTGCAGTCTGCCGCAAAGTTCTGCAGTGCTCCCGAAGTCAATGCTAACTGAACTACACTGTGTCCATGGTTCATTTTAGTCTTGCCCTCAGAGCTCGCTTGGAGTTTTTGCTACCTGGATAGTAGCTTTTCAGAATATTACGACGGCATCTCTTGGTACTGTGGGAGGTGGAAAGATGGCGACAATTATTCAGCGTGTTAATATGTAGCTACTCAAGCACATAAGACAGGCAAACTGTACTGTTTCCACCTAAGCCTGTCACAGACCTCAGTGCAATCTATACAACCCACCCAAATATAGTTACTGCTGTTAGCTATGTTATCACCAGTAGTGATATTAGAAATCAGTGGCAAGTAAGAGTAGTTTAACGAAATCATAATAAAGTAGGAATATCAGCAGTTAGCAAGTTGAAGCACATAAGCTTGAAGGTCTCATAGTACTGAGAATGAATGAAGTAGATAATAGTGACAGTTATATGAATGTAAAGAGGTGAACAATTTTCCTGGAGGATATTCTTATTAAACCCATTTTAGTCAACAGAGAGAGAAGTAATACACAATGTTTTAGGTGTGGAGATGAAGCTTATGTCCTAAAATTCCCATGACTTACACCCTGTAGAGTTTCGTTCGGGCACAATTGCATTTCGTCGTCATACCTTAAAATGACTATATGTCCTGCATACTTCGAATTTGATGAGACTTTTGATTCAATCAAACCCATATGTATCAGTAGTAAAATTAAGTAAATGCGGTGAAACTGAATATCCTCGACGGAAATCATTGATTATCGTCACTGAGTACACCTATGCATTAGCTGGTACACCATTGTTTGAGTTAGAACAAAGTGGCCCGACCGATAGCTGCAACCTTGATGTGATTGTTGGGCTTGCATAACACAATAACCCAGTGAGCTACACTGGATAGAACTAATATTCCTACGGACCGTACCATGCCAGAAAAGTCGTTTGGATAGCGGTTAGACTTAAAGCAGTTACTATCGTAGTGTAAGCTGTTTATGTTTGGTGTCTTAAGGCGAAGTCATACTACCAGCAGATAGCTATATAATAACAGTAAGATATCTCTATCGGACAATCAACAAACCATCTGTGCTGCCTCTCCGCTCTGAAGAGTGCCGATTATAAAAGGCTGATCCCGAAGATTGTACATCCTGAATTACTTTGCTGTAGTGAGGTCTCAACTCCAGAAATCACTTCAAACAGATTGTGTGTATGTGTGATTATTCACTGGGTCTTGCATCCAAGCAAAATTAATGCTCCTTCTGCTTGAGCTACCCCGAGAAGATACCGGGAAATAATAACCGCTTACACTTTCACAAGTCAGTCAGACAGTAGAGTGTCTTTTTTCCTCATTACAGTTTCTTTACTCACCTCAAGCATCTGGATGTAGCCACGATACCTGGCAAGTGAAACTTAATGCCAACTCTGGGACAGGAAATAAGGGACCATCTTGTCCCTTGTAAGTCCCCTGTCTGTGTTCTAAAGCCTGTCGAAGGTGAGCATTTAACCAGCAGACTCATCTAGGCCTAGGACCTACGTGATTATCTTGAGCTTGTTTGATAAAATCTTCACTTAGTCTCCGATTAGTGTTCATCGAATGAAACTGTTTGCCCCCTTTCTATATTTGGAGGAGTGATATTGTGTTAAGGTGTGTTATTAACACCCGTAAAATACGAATTTCCATCTACTTGAATACATTAGACTAGTGTGAGCTAACTCGGGATAATTCTTTATTCTTCTGATTGAAACGTCTAAATGTTTTTGTTTTATTTTTGTTTTCATCGTTTTTGTGCTTACATTGGTGTATAAGTAGTTATTGTAAACCAAATCTGCATATATAACACAGTTTTGTTTGTTTTCAGATGTAATAAATAAATATGGAGTTAAGAACTAGCGTACATGAACATGAAGAACAACCGACTACAGTTGTCGATGCCGATGTTAGCAGAGTAAGTAGCTTTGTTTTACTTCTGGTTATGTGTATTTTGACATGCTAAACATCCAACCTTTCAATGATGATTAATGGCAAAGAAGCGGGGCGGGGGGATAGAATAAAATCTCATTATACATATTTTTTGTTGTTGATGATTTTACACTACATAAATAACAAAGTGTATCCATAAACAATCTGGTACGGCGAAGGATAGATAGACTTTGGCCTTCCTCTTGAGATGCTTACATGTGGTCACCCATTTATAGCCTCTGGCTGGTGAGTCCTATTCACTGCCTTCACGCGATGGGAGTTTGTTTGTACATCTATGATGAAGTTGAATAGAAATGGGGATAATGGGCATCCTGGACGGACGCCATTAGTACTGCTCTTCACTCCTTTGTTCAGTGCGCTCTGGATTGATCTCAGCTTCGTTGTTCATCTTTACACTGGTCCGTCTTCTGTTTCACCATCTCTCTCTCTCTCCATTTGGTTCCACGTGTACGTAGATAGTCATACTTTGTCTTACCTCTTCTTCCTTCTTAGGTCGGCTATACACGTTTCTTCCACTATCACTTTCATAGAGTTTCAGCGTTCTTCCACACAGTTTTCCCCGGTGATGCTGCACAGTGTCTCTGACTTTTCCCTGATGGCTGCATTAAAGATGTCCTCTATAAATTTGTCTTGCAATTTCTTGGTGTTGAATTTAAATTGTGGTCTATATCCAGCTTCTTCGAAGGCTTTCAACTCGACCTGGAAGATTCCTTGCAGTAGATAATGGTATGAGCCTGTATCTGCGCCTCTTCTCGATTTTGTTTCAAAGAGGCTGCGTCTCCACTCTCTTGAACAATATTGAGATGAAGTCTCTCTGATTTTTAGTGTCAGTCTGATGAAATCCATATCACTTTCCGTTTGTTATTGTGCCTGTGAACGTGGTCACCAATCGCCGAAAGACAGAAGTCACACATATCTGCGAAGAGTTCACCGTTCCCATTTATTTCATCGAGAACTTCTTTACCTATATTGAGTTCTCTTTCTGTGTTATCTGCTCGCCGTTTTGGTATTCATTTCACCCAGTAGAACTTTCGATGCCGGCATTTGGAGTTGTTTTCATTACTATTCACAGTTATCTGTAGAATTCTTCTTTCTTCTCTTCGTCTGTGTTGTTCGTAGGTGTGTAGTATTAAACGATTTTAACATTCCTACCATTTGAGTCGAATCTTACTGTCATTATCCTAGAGGAGATTGGTTCCCACCGCATAAGAGCCTTAGATGCTGTTATTGACATCATGATAGCTATTCCTTCAGGGTGGTTGTAGTTTTCATCTGGAGTAGTCGGGAGTAGATTATTGACTCTCCAGTTAACAATTGGAAGAGTCCACTTCCATTCCACGTGCTTTTACAGATTCCTAGCACTTCTATACAGTATCTGCTAATTTCTTCTGCAATCTGAGCAGTCTTCCATCGCAGCTTCGAATATCATGGGTATATTCCATGCCCCGCATGCTTATTTTTGCCTTCATCGAGAGGAAGACACATCGACTGGCTGTTTGGCTTCTCGAAAGCTTTCACCAGCCTGCATCATTCCGTCTCTCCGACTCCTGCAAAGAATTACTTTATTTTTATAAACTTATTTACTGGGCTTTAGAGTTTCTGTAGTGGTCTCAGCGATTTACCGTGGTAGGGTTGTGCTAGCTCTCCACACACTCAACCTTCCTTCTTTTTTCAAACTTCAGACCGACTAGTAAACTAACTAAGCAAGGAGGTTATGTTCTGTTATAACTTATATATATAAGCTCTAAGTTCATGTGTTAGTCGGTGGTTCAACGATAGAATGCTCGCCAACCATGCACGTGGTCTGGAGTTTGAGTCCCGGTCAGCGCGCATACCTTTACCTCCTTTAGTCAGCTGTAAGCCTGATAAACAGCGAAGGTTAGGCGTGAGGCAAGCACCTATGGTCAGCCTATAAAACCACCACCACTGTGACCGAGACTTCACAGCTCAAACTTAAAACTCTCTGTTCCTTTGGGAATGCAAAGGAATAGAAAGGAGGTTGTTCATGGCCCTCAGAAAAATATTCAGTTTTTTAATTTGTACACTAGTAAATTCAACACCATATTAGTTTGTTTATTAGATACATCACACAGTGAAACAGTATTATTTACTGGATGACACAGTTTCGAACGAAATTCATTGTTCATAATCATCTCATCAATTATAATCACACTTCTTCGAAACTTGAGTTTTATAGTTTTCTTTGTTCTCTTCTATTTGTCGTCGTAGGCGTGTTAGTAGAATTTTCCAGATATCTGGTTGGACAGGTGTTGAATCATTCCTATTACACGTACTCTCTTCAGTTGATTCGATAAACAAAGCTTCTGTTATCAATCTCTCCCTCCACCCTGTTACATTAGATTTTAAAACTGTCATCCTATCCCATCCTATTGTATGGTTGTGTGTAACTGCATGTAGTGAGTGCTATAGCTGAACTATTCTCTAAATTTCTTATCTTTTTTGGATCAACCAATCTAGATTTTGCTAAGTTTTTATGTTCAGCTAGTCTGACTGCCCCTGTTCTACTAGTTTGACCTATGTATTTGACCTGACAATCATTGCAGACAGGGTATTAGATAAACTAAATTGTTTTGTTTTAAAGGCTCCACAGTCAGGATCTTTCAACCAACAAACCTTGTTTCTAATTGAGTGTGTGGGGTGTTTGAATACCAGCCGCTTTTATTCCTGCCTTGTTAAGAATTCTGCGTAAGGCTTCCGAGGTTTTTTCCTTGTATGGAATTACTACTGATGATTTAGATTCCTTATTGTTGGTGTCGTCATTAATATTATTATTACTATTATTATCACTGTGTGATGTATCTAATAAACAAACTAATATGGAATTACTTACTACCACAGTGACCAAGTTTTACACATATATTAAAATTCAACACCACCTTTTTGTCATTTTAATAATTTATATGATATTATTTTGTTTTTAAAAATATTTATAGACCCTAATAATTCGTGGAACTGGTAATCCTGAAGCGACAACACCACCACTAACAACAACAGCAACAGCTGACAATGTAGACAATACACCGTCGACTAGTCGAGGCCCAGCAATTCGATGGGTTGACGGTACAATTGACAATGAATTTATGGGTAGAAAAAAGTCGAATTGTTGTTGTATTTATGAAAAGCCAAGACGATGGGATGAATCATCCAGTTCCTGCTCCTCATCGTCATCTGATTCAGAGGATAAACAAAAACGTAAACCTGTCCATTGTACAGATAATTGTCGTGGGCATACAAGACGATGTTATCGTAAAAGGAAGAAACCTCCTGTGACGGATAACATGAGCCCTGAAAATACGACGACTACTGCCACTGCTACTACTACTACTTCGACTACTAATGAACAGTTAAATATCATACCTGATTCCAATACAAACAGTATTACGTCATAAACTTCCACAAGACATTATATATTATTTATATACATATATAATTTTTGCAAACGACGAAACAGAAACCATCTTTTGTCAAATCAGTCACATTTACCGTCACTTACCCTAATCTTCTTCCATTCCATTCCATTCCATAGCATGTCTGGAGGAGTGGGGTGGCATAAGGAGATGCAAGGAGGAGGAGGAGAAGGAGGAGTACAGTAAATCTCAAGCAGCTCATTGTTCCTGTTAATTTTTAAAAAATTATTTTTCATCAATTTGTGCTTAATTTTTGCTTCTTCATTGTGCGTGCGTGCGTGCTTGCGTGTGTGTGTGTGTGCTTGTCTGTTACTCTGTGAATAATGCCTAGGTGTGAAGGTTTACACCAAAAATGTATATCTTTATTAGATTAAATTGAATAAAATATTGAATTAGATGGTGGTAAAATGTATAGTGTCTTTTTGTATTTTTTTTCGCCTTTGTTTTAGGGCAAGAGCAGTAGTTTCTCTTAACTGTGTTGTTTTTTTCTACTTTCAAAAGTTAGTTCGTGGAGATTTGTTTTGTTTTAAGGTTGATTACGAGTTGCTGACATCAGTTATAGAGGAACTTTGAAAACTACTAGGGAAGGGGCGGGGGTAGTGGATAGCTGTTTCGTCCCAGTTTGGGACTCTTCATCGGCGTGCGCCCATAGGGGTTTGAACCCAGGACCATTTAGCCACTGGGATCCAGTACAATGGCCTATGAATTCCAATTTTTGCCAATTTGGGACATATGTGTATATATCAACGATCAGGCAGTGTTGTCGGCGAGTAACCGTTATTTTGCCTGAATTGGTTGATTCCACTGACTATGACTTCTCACTTCCCGCTGGTGATCGGAATTGCAAACAGATAGATGCTTGTAATTGCAGAGAGTCGTGCAATTAGGTCCTGCATATAAACCGTGTCTCTGTGAACAGAGGGGAATAGCGATTGTTAAGACTCTATCATATTAATATCGTTTACTTTGTTCCATCTCATATTATTATTATTGTTTCAATTAAAACTATCTCTCTGAGGCTGGCCGACAACTGCTACCTTGTCGTGGTGTTCGGGCTTGAATACCTCAATGACTCAACAAGCTACACTGGCTGGGACTTACATTCCTGCAGGTCCTACCATGTCAAGAAGGTTGTTTGGATAGCCGTTAGACTAAAAGCAGTTAGTGTTGGGTACATGGGCTCCAGAATCGAATCGGATCAAATGACGTATGAACCGACAGCCATGGGAACGTAGCTTCTGACGCTGCTCCACTGCCTTGTGGATTAGACTCCAAGTCAAATACTCTGGGGCGTCGGTCCATTAAGACAACCATCTGCTTCGGTCTAGGCACCCGGGCATTATCTCAGCCCCCACACAATCACAACCGTCTGTCTGATACTCGCTAGTGACTGACTTCGGGATGATGTTCACTGGAGTACTAGTGAGAGGTCGTGACTAGTGAAGTCCACGTGGTTGGGGGGTGAGGAGATATACTCGCCGATGACATTGGCAGGGGGTCGGACTAAAATCACGAATTAGTAGAAGTTAGAATTCATGGATGGTTGGCCATTAAGTTGGTTCCCAGTGGCTGAGTGGTCTACAAGCTTGACTTGTAACCTGAAGGTTCCAGGTTTGAAAGTCGTATGGATGAATACTGTTGAAGAAGAGTCCTAGACTAGGACGAAACAGCTATCCAATACTCCCCCTTCTCCCTGGTAGTTTCCAATCATTCTCTAACTGATATCAGCAGCTCGTGATCAAACATGTAGCAATAATAACCAGTTATTCGGAGGATACATTTTGACGTAGGATTAATTGACTGACAGATTAGTCATCAATTAGTGCTGCACTAGTGTAGACTTACACCTGCCAGTGTCATTGGCAAGTAGTTATACTCATACCCGATCTGCTGCTGTACCCCACTAGTCACGACTTCTCACTAGAACCCCAGGCAACTTCGTCCTGTACCCAGCCAGTCACTAGTGATCATCAGATGAATTTACAGGGCAGAAGTGATAAATACGCTACTGAGACACACCAAATGAAAAAACAACAAACAAAAACAGGCCGTGTGTGACCGGCCTCAAGCAGTTGTCCCCTGGGCTCTGCGGTCACGCAACCAACTTCCACGGTGTGGGCAGCCGGGAAGTAACAATCGCCCTCACAATCCGGAGTGCACGCGAAACCTCTCTAATCCTCACTCACCTTTGTCTTCATCTTCATCTCTATTATCTTGCCTTCCTTCTACTCATGCAACTCCTCTACTCAATGGCTCTTCACTTCTTCTTCACTCTATGTGCACTGAAAACGACGGAAGCCAAAAAACCACCATCGATAGCCTCCTAAAGCCACGTCACCAATTTCATATAGGGGCATTTAATGTTAGGACACTTTGCCAAATAGGACAACAGGCATCACTAGCCAAGACTCTGGCATCCCGAGCCATTGATGTATGTTGTGTTTCAGAAACACGCATACAAGACCCAAGTGTGGTTATTCACCTAACCCCACCTGGCCAACAGGATGAATCTGCAAAATTCACCTTGAAGGTGTCAGGAGATGCGACGGCTAGCTCACGAGGATTAGCTGGTGTTGGGATAGCTCTGAGTACTAGGGCAGAAAAGACATTACTTGACTGGATCCCGGTAGATAGCCGAATGTGTGCTGTCCGTCTGAACGGATCAGTGAAAAGGAGAAAGGACAGCACTACTCGCCGATGCCTTTTCGTAATCTCCGCCTACGCGACCGTCTCCTACAGTTCTGTTCAGATAATCACTTGTTTCTTGTAAGCACTAACTTCAAACACAAGCAGAGACACTCTTTGACCTGGCGACCTCCATCATCAAACCAACGCTGGACACAAATAGACCACATAGCAATAAGCTATCGTTGGCGTGGGTCGGTAGGAGATTGCCGATCCTTCTGGAACACGTGTGTAGATACCGATCACGTACTGGTCCGCGCTCGGGTATGCTTACGACTGAACGGACGTAGGAAACAGCTGGCGACAAACCCATCACGTCCCCAGCTCGATCAGGAAACTAAGTCCCTATTTGAGGAAGAACTAGCTAAACACATATCTGAGTTCGACAGCTGCGCTCACCCTGAAGAAGCCTGGAAGAATATTCAGCCAGCCATAGATACAGCTGTAAAAGCTGTGAATAAGGTAAATCCAAAGGTGAGTAAAAACCATTGGATTTCGACTGCCTCATCCGAATTGATAGATGCTAGAAGACTTATTCCAGCGAGCTCCGAATTCAATGAGGAGCGAAAGCTGCACAAAAGGAAACTTACGAAAAGTCTCCGCAAGGACCGTGAACAGTGGTGGTTGACAAAGGCGAAAGAGATGGAAAAAGCATCGGCGATAGGCAAAACTAGGCAACTCTTTAGACTCATCAGGGAAACGGGTGGGAGAAGGCAAATCATAAGTGAGACTATTTCTGAGAAAAATGGCTCCTTAATTAGCTCTCAGGATAGACGCCTCGAACGCTGGAAAGAACACTTTGAGGAACAATTTAACTTGCCTACAGCCACACTGAGCCTCCCCGCCATCCAGCACACACCCGAATGGGATATAGACACTGGCTCGCCGTCTGTAAGTGAGGTCACCAAAGCTATTTGTAATTTGAAACGAGGCAAAGCGGCAGGACCCGACGGAATTATTCCGGAGGTGTTTAAATATGGGGGTGACATACTAGTATATAGTTTAACTAAGGTACTAGGTAACGTCTGGGAATCAGAGACGGTTCCATCAGACTGGAGTAAGTCACTTATTATACCAGTATTCAAGAAGGGAGACAAGTCCTCATGTGATAATCATAGAGGAATCAGCCTAACGAACATAATCTCTAAAATCCTAGGCTCAGTAATCATGAACAGACTAAGCCGAACTCGGGAGGAACAAACGAGGGAAAATCAAGCGGGATTTAGGCCAGGTAGAGGGTGCATAGATCATATCTTCACTCTCCGACAGATCCTAGAACATAGACACACTTTTAGGCGTCCAACAATTGCCATATTTCTTGACTTGAAGGTGGCCTTCGACTCCGTGGATCGAGAGGTACTATGGCAATGTTTGACTGTGAAGGGAGTGCCAAGAAAGTACATTGCACTAATCAAGGCACTCTACTCAAACTCACGTAGCTGTGTAAGGGCTTATGGGGAATTGTCATCTGAATTGATAACAACCAGTGGTGTCCGTCAAGGATGTCCACTTTCCCCTTTTCTGTTTAACTTCATCATAGATATGCTAATGGAAGTATCCTTAACTGAACTTAACGACTTAGGAATCGACTTGTTACCAGGGAATAGTCTTATAGACTTAGAATATGCAGACGACATAGTCCTGTTAGGGGAGGACGCTGACAAAATGCAGAGTCTTCTGAACACCTTGAGCAGCAATCTTTGTATGTTTGGCATGCGATTCGCCCCTGTAAAATGTAAGATGCTGCTGCAGGACTGGACTAGGTCAACTCCTAGCTTAGTGATAGGGAGTGAAGTGATAGAACATGTTGACCACTTCACCTATTTCGGGAGTTGTATCAGCACCAACGGATTGATTGGTGACGAAATCACAGCACGGATCCAGAAAGCTCGGGCTGCTTTCGCTAACTTACACCGTCTCTGGCGTAGGCGTGACATCCGGCTGTCAACCAAGGGACGTGTATACTGCTCAGCAGTTCGCTCCGTCCTTCTCTATGGCGGTGAGACGTGGCCATTGAGAGCGGAAGACATGACGAAATTGTCTGTTTTTGACCACAGATGTTTACGATCTCTTTCTCGCATTAGGTGGTATAATAAGGTAAGTAATGTTGACGTTAGGCGTAGAGTGTTGGGCAAAGAGGGAAAATCAATCGAAGAGGCTATGAAGTTACATAGATTGAGATGGTTAGGTCACGTGCTGCGCATGCCTAGCCATCGCCTCCCCCGACGGGCATTACTAGCTGATATAGGTGCAGGTTGGAAAAGAGTAAGTGGTGGCCAAACAAAAACATCGCATCAATCAATCCATGAAATCCTTGACAGTTAAACTGAGTCAGGTAGGGAGATGCAGA